GTGAGTGAGGGACTGAACACATCGATTCCAGGCTGAGGGGTTACTGTATTATTATTATTATTATAATAAAAAAGAAGCGCTAAGCCACAAGGGCTATACAGCGCTGTAGGGTAGGAAAGGAAGCAAGGGTATTGGGCAGCAGAAGGGGGGAGGGGCGATCAGTAGGTTACAGAACTCACGAAATCGTAATGACACGATTGCAAACAAACCATACCACGGGCGGGATTGAACACGCGGTCAGAGTCTCTCAAAACTCCAGACCATCGCATTAGCCACTGGACCAGCTAGCCACAATAAGATTCGTCCAACTAGGTATATTTCTACACCATAGGAAGGTTAGCATAGGCACCACTGTGACCACAAATGCAAGTTTTTACAGACGAATCTCCAGCTAGCGTGGCCATGACGAACTCTAGCTCAAGTCCCCTCAATGCCGTCAACATGTCTCACGAAATCGTAATGACACGATTGCAAACAAACCATACCACGGGCGGGATTGAACCTGCAGTCAGAGAGTCTCAAAACTCCAGACCGTCGCGTCAGCCACTGGACCAGCTAGCCACAATAAGATTCGTCCAACTAGGTATATTTCTACACCATAGGAAGGTTAGCATAGGCACCACTGTGACCACAAATGCAAGTTTTTACAGACGAATCTCCAGCTAGCGTGGCCGTGACGAACTCTAGCTCAAGTCCCCTATGGTGTAGAAATATACCTAGTTGGACGAATCTTATTGTGGCTAGCTGGTCCAGTGGCTAACGCGACGGTCTGGAGTTTTGAGACTCTCTGACAGCGGGTTCAATCCCGCCCGTGGTATGGTTTGTTTGCAATCGTGTCATTACGATTTCGTGAGTCGTGTTGACGGCATTGAGGGGACTTGAGCTAGAGTTCGTCACGGCCACACTAGCTGGAGATTCGTCTGTAAAAACTTGCATTTGTGGTCACATTGGTGCCTATGCTAACCTTCCTATGGTGTAGAAATATACCTAGTTGGACGAATCTTATTATGGCTAGCTGGTCCAGTGGCTAACGCGACGGTCTGGAGTTTTGAGACTCTCTGACCGCAGGTTCAAGCCCGCCCGTGGTATGGTTAGGTTACAGAAAACAGCGGGGCAGGGGATAGTGCAGGGTAGAGGGTAGCAGGAGATCGAGGTATCATCAGAGTTTGTGAAGTAAGCCAGTTGTTGTCAAAAAGTCAATGAGAGAGTCCGGATGAAAGGTGGGTCCATCAGCGAGAAGGGAAGGTAAAGAGAGAGCAGCAGAGCGAAGACGGTGTTGGAGGTAAATTCTGCGTGCTCATTGATAAACTGGGTAATCTAACAGAATGTGGCTGACCAATAATGGAACCTGACAATTCCCACAGAGAGGAGCACAGCGCCTCTCCATGAGTAAGACGAGTATGGCCAATGCGGAGACGGGAGAGAGTAGTCTCCCAACCTCGGCACTGGTGACAAGAAGACGGCCAGTAACCTATACTCGGTTTAATAGATTGAAGTTTGTTACCAAGTAGAGTAGACCAACGTTGTTGCCAATGGGTGTGAAGGTGGGTAGCTATTGCAGTAAAATAGTCTGTAAATGGAACACCTCTACATGAAACTGGTAGGTCATGTACTGCTGACCGCGCAGCAGTGTCTGCCTGTTCATTGCCCTGTACGTCAACATGGGCTGAGGATTAATTACCTCAAACTCCTCTCCTTATGCCTTCCTGCTTTGTATTGGACTGATGAAGCCACTGTGTGGCAAAACGTTTCTTCAATAAAGGTTCCCGTATGTTGCATAAGTGTCTCAACTCTTCAAGCTGTCAGTTTCCAAACCATTTATCACATGCTTATTTATATTTAACACCATTTCAGCAATTTCACCGTCACTCAAGGAATGCACAACATGTGGAGTTATGTAGAGATGACTGACGCTCCACACAAAAGAAAGAAGGAACACTGCAGCAGGCCTACTGGCCCATGCGAGGCAGGTCCAATTCTTCCACATTGGGTAGTTTCAAATTTAGGTTGGATAAATACATGAGTGAGAGAAGTTGGATTTGAGTGGGACTTGCACGTGAGTATACAGAATTATCAAAGCTTATTATGATTGAGGCTAGAACCTTAGGTAGCTGTAAAGAGAGATTAGACAAATATATGAGTGGGAGGGGATGAGTTTGATTGGTGTCGTGGGTGCGGGAGTGAATTCTTGAGTAGCTTTGGGTAGTGGTGGTTTTGATAAGGACCTGCCTTGTATGGGCCAGTAGGCCTTCTGCAGTGTTGCTCCATTCTTATGTTCTTCATCAGTCCATGTATGGACTGATGAAGCCACTGTGTGACAAAACGTTTCCTCAAAAAAGATACCCAAGAGTTGCACATGTGTCTAATTTATCAAAGTGTCGGTTCTCTGAACCACTCATCTGCAATTCTATGGATGATGTTCTGTCTCCACAGATGCCTCAATTCACCACCCACATTTTTCCCCTTCTCATTTCTATGGTTCACCTCATCTTTCATAGACCTGTCCACCAACAAGTACACTCCCAAATATCTGAAGGCATTCACATCTGCCTACCAATCTGATATCCAATCTTTCAGTGCCTAAATTATTTTCCTCTTATCACCTTATTCTTTCCTGTTCATTTTTAATTTCCTTTTACATACTCTCCCAACTTTCTATTCAGAATCAACCTAAAGCATCGTGTCATCTTCAAAAAGCAACCGTGACAACTCCCACTTTGTGTTAGATTCTTTATCTTTTAATCCCACACCTCTCCCCAACACTAGCATTTGCTTCTTTGACAATTCCAACTATAAATATGTTAGACAACTATAGTGACATCATGCATCCCTGTGTAAGGCCTACTTTTACTGGAAAATAATCTCCTTCTCTCTCCTACATACCTTAACCTGAGTCTCATCATCATCATAAAAGCTCTTAACTGCTTCAAGTAACCTATCACTTATTCCATACACTTTCAACATGTATCACATTGCTCCCTTATTCACCCTATCATATGCCTTTTCTAAAGCTATGAATGCAATGAAAACTTCCTTACCTTTATCTAAATATTGTTCACTTGAGTGCTTCAATGTAAACATTTGATCTACATATCCCTACACTTCCTAAAATCATCTTGTTCATCTGCACTCCTGTTCTCTGTCTTATCCATAATTCTTTCAATAATAACTACCATTCACTACCTGGTATACTCAACAGGCCTACCCCTTATAATTCTTACTCTCTTTTACCCCTTTTTCCTTTATACAAAGAAACTATGCATGCTCTCTGCCAACCCCTAAGTACCATCCTTCCCCTTTCATTTATTTATTGAACAAATGCACCAACCACTCCAAAACTATATTCCTACCTGCTTTTAACATTTTTGTCTGGATCCTATCAATCCCATTTGCTCTACCCACTTTCATTTTATCCACTGACTCACACACATTCACATCTGGCTCTTCCTCACTCCTGAAAGATGCTATACCTCCCTGCCCAATGCATAAAATCACTGCCTCCCTCTCTGCTTCAACATTTAACAGCTCCTCAAAATGTGCCCCCCATCTTCCTAATACCTCCACCTCCCCATCAAATAATGCAACTCTTTTGTTTTTAATTGCTAAATCTATTTGTTCATTAGACTTTCTCAACTTCATCTCACCCCAAAACATTTTTCTTATTCTCAGCATCATTCATGGGGACAACTTCTTCAGAGCCATCATTTACTGGGATAACCTTTTCAGAGTCATCGTTCACATTTGGTCTCCTTACTACTCTCTTAACCTCTCTTTTACCCTCATATCACTTCTGTTTTATAAAAACCTCTCATATGATAACTTTTTCGACCTTACTACTCTCTTTACCTGGTCATTCCCTTCCACACTCACCCTCCTATATCCAAAAAATTCTGCTGCATACTCTAACATTACATTCGTAAATCTACCCCATACCTCTTTGACATTACCTATTCTCTCTCTAGCCCACTGACCTCCTTGAATTTATTAACTCTCATTTCTCTCTTACTGCAATGAGTTAATATATGAAAATTGTTAAGATGCTGGGTGTAAGTTTGACAAAAAAGCATGAAATTGCTATATTATTCATCATTCTGAGGAATGTTTCCAATCCTCAAAATGATAGCAAGGAAGCTCTCTGGAAATAACCTCATTTGAATCTCTTTGATTAGATGAATATATGTAATTACTATTTCTCCTGTAACTGTTTTACACCTGTAATTGTTTTACATGATGATAGGATTGCTGGTGTCTTTTTTCTGTCTTATAAACACGCAAGATTTCAGGTACGTCTTGCTACTTCTACTTACACTTATGTCACACTACACTTGCATGTACGTACAAGCATATAATTGAATCATTGTTTCACAAAAAGCATTTTTGAATATATGAATATATTTTTTGTTTTATATAAATTAGATTCACTTAATTAATAAATCTACTGTACAACTATGATATAATTCGTAGTGTTAAGTAGTCAGTAAGTCGGCCCATAATGCCTAGGCATAATAAAGGCTTTCTTTGCATTGCAACCCATTATTGTAAATACAAAATCTCAATGTACTATGTATTTGCAAAGACATAAATAAATAAATAAATAAATAAATAAATACACCCCTCCCGGCTTTTCTTCTATTTTCTTACTAGTTCTTCTTCTTGTATATTTCCTCTTATCTACATAGGGAGTTGGAACAGAATTCTTCCTCTGTAAGGCATGCGTGTTGTAAGGGGCGACTAACATGCTGGGAGCAAGGGGCTAGTAACCCTTTCTCCTATATACATTACTAAATTTAAAAGAGAAACTTTTGTTTTTCTTTTTGGCCACCCTGCCTCAGTGGGATATGGCCAGTTTGTTGACAGAAGTAGTAGAATTACTGTTTCTGAGGTTTGTTCAGCCTCTTTCAAAAACACTAAGGTTTTTTCCCTCTTCATTCAAGTCATTATCTTGTACAGTCTTTGGATTTCTATGTATTAGATTGTAACCTGTCAATTAACCTGTTAAAGTTGTGAAAGTGTTTGTCCTTCATTTTAAAATTTATTAAATTTTCATTGATATACTATACTCCAAAAAAATCCTAGCTTAAACTCTTAAATATTGAAGGCACACCAAAATACAATGGAACCTCGGTATGCAACCTTAATTCATTCCAGAAAGCTGTTTGAGTGTCGCTCCATTTGAGTATTGAACAAGTTCTTCCCAACCAATTTTCTATTTGGTTGGCTGTTATCACTAATTGTCATAGGCCCCATGGTGACTTATTTATACAAATACAATACAAAAAACACCAAAAAGTGCGAAGAAACACGAAATAGTTATCAACAAAGCTCTGGCAGGTCGTATTTGTTTGGTCGAGTGCTGAGCTTTGTTCGAGCAGGGAGCTGGTCGTGTACCGAGGTTCCACTGTAAAGCAGGATACCATTTGGTGGCTGGATGTAACTTTCTTGTTCAACATTAAGAGTGTTTCACATGATACATTTGCAACCAAATCCTGATAATAGGTTGTTTCAGATAATTAATATTAAGCTACCATGTTGTTTACTCTAGTAATTTGTTTAGAATATATTTAGGATAAGATTAATTAGTACTCCAAAAGATGAAATTAAACTTTGAAAATTGACAAACTTCATATTCAACATTATAAAATTTACACATAAACAAATGTCTATGAGCGACATAATGGTGGTAAAAATCACTTTCACTCTTATCGATGCAGTGTTTCACCCACATAAAATGTGGTATATAAGCCTATGGGAAGGGGGAGTTCAGATGCTGGGTCAGGTCCTGTGCTGCCAGAACAGGTCAGGCAAAGCCGTGATGCCAGGTGGTAAGGTGAAGTGGATGGGCCAAATTGTGGTATATTGCACTTACTTTGTTGGCCTGGCAGTCCCTCACCACCGCCATATGCTTTATATACCATTGTTTTTATATATTCCACATACAGCATGTGATAAAGCTCCCAGTGGGTGAAACATCATGTTAATAAAAAGTTTCTTGGCTGAAAGTATTTTTTTATCACCATAAATTGTACATATTCAATATTTTAAGACTAGAAATAATTCTGACTAGAATATCATACCTGTCACTTTATATACATGTCAAGTGTTGCCAGCTGGTAGTCATTGGGGCATGTATTTCAGTATTACTAAGTGTGGCATCTGGGAAGCTCCTTAAGCTACTTTCAAGTGTCACTGATTCTGGAGCTTTAGTATCATATAACTGTGCATCCACCTTGGGGAAATATGTTTTTGGTTCGGGGAAATGTGATGGAGAAGCACTGCTTAATATTTGATGTGTGGCCCACACACTATTGTGGTCTATATACAGAGATATAAACAGCTCATTCTCCAAGGTATTATATTTGAATCTATTTGCACCCGAGAACTTTGTTCTAGGTTCAGGAATTACATCTGGTGGATTAGTTGAAGCAACAGACACTTTTGCTTCATTAGTACTCAGGAAATAATCAGTTAATTTCTTAATGCACTTCTCACCAAGTAAGCAATGTAATGATATACTTCTGGTGAAGGGTTCTGGGAAATCAAGACTTGTATAAGTGGTGAAAATCTCAAGTTGTTCACCGGAGCTAATCAAGTTACCTGCAGTCCCACATGTACTACAGTGCTCATCTCGATTATGCTTTGTATTCAAAACTGAGTCTATACTGACTTTTAGGTTTACAGTTTTGAATTCTAAAACTTCCATATTTATGGGGGGAGTAGCATATACAATGTTGTTAAAGTGAAAATTTTTAGGAAAGGGCTTTATCTTTTGGTCTAAGTTTGTTTTATTCCTAAAGATATTTATTAACTTTATATTTAGAGCTTTCTGTTTTCCTTTTATGTAAGATAATATATTTTTCTCCATATTGTTTTCCTTGGTTTTTGATTCTACTTCAGTAATTTGATGAAGTGTGTCAGTACAAAATATTTCATTAGATTGTCTTCCCAAGATGGATTCCTTATTACTTGTGTGTGTTTTACTAATCACTTTACATGGAAAATCTGCAAAAGATGACATTAACAGTTTCATTTTTTTGCTTTGAGACAAGGTAAATAAAATACTCGTTTCCATTTTGATCTCGAGCAATGGACTGCTAGATTTTTTCAGGAATTGTGTTCTTTTCTTTGAAAAATAGTTTGTTGAGCTGTAGTTGGAAATATGTAAACGATCAGTTTCTAATGTCTTTGGGAAATAAGATTTAGTGCAGTGGCAACTATACAAACAGGTGGTCTGTATTCCTTCTTGCCTCTTGGCAGCAGGTGAATTGCTTTGGTAGTGGTGAAACTTGCCAGGACCAACTAGTTCTGAAATAAAGAAAACAAAATTTATTCATTAAGGTCGGTGTAACAAATGTTGTACTAAAAGAGAAGGGAGAAACAATGAGATGAAGATACAGAAATGAACAGAAATATAGAAATAATGGAAAAGGATGAGATAATATGGTGGAAAGCTGGAAGGAATGTGACAGGGAGGAGAACACTGGTGGGTGTAGAGAGAGTGAAGAAATCACGAGATGTGTGGGAAAGTCAGAGAAAAATTTAGAGTACTGTTATAAACAAATGCATTCATGGAGAGAGGGGAGGAGGATAAATGAGATAAGAGAATAAGGGAAAGATACTGGAAAATGGTGATGATAAAAGGTAAGGAAATAATAATGGAATAATAAAAAGTGAAGGAGGAAGATAAAACAGTAAAGGGTGATGGCATCTCCTCCTTCTTTATTCTCCTCTGCCTGCCAGGGAAGGTAAGGGAGAAAGGTGCAAGATATGCAATTGCTGCAAAGAATTACAGTATCTGACCACACTGCCACATACTAATAATGAATCTGAAATCTGAGCTATACATACGTTTATACAATCTTAAACTATTAGCTTAAATTATATTCTACAGTTCTGTACATGATTAAAAAAGTACTGTCATTGACATTTTGAGATTAGTAAATATGGAGCAAATCTATGGAGCAAATCTAGTCTAACACACCATATATAACTAACACAAGATAATTAATTTTTTTTCAGCAAACTGACCATATCCCACCAAGGCAGGGTGACCTAAAAAGAAAAATGAAAGTTTCTCTTTTTAAATTTAGTATGTATATAGGAGAAGGGGTTACTAGCCCCTGTCTCCCAGCATTTTAGTTGCCTCATACAACATGCATGGCTTACGGAGAAATAATTCTGTTCCACTTCCCCATGGGGAAAAAAAGTAGCTACAAGATATAGGGGCTCGATCGCCAGATGATGATGGTTGTGAAGGATGCCCCCACAGCTGGGTTACACAAATGTAACAGTAAAAGCATGATCACATGCTACTGTGAAGCAACACAACATGACAGCAAACACCAAGCAACAGTCAAATAAAAATAAGAACACTTCATAATACAATACTGGTAAATAAAGAGAAATCGTGTTAAAGTATGCCTAAAATTAGGAAAAAAATAGCTAAGGTTATAAAAATATCTTAGAAAAAGATGTACATTTTTTCCAGTAAAATGGAGACACAAAAGTGGTATCAACACTTTCATATGGGTGAGACATGGGCTTTAAAGTAGGTAGTAGGTTGGTAGACAGCAACCACCCAGGGAGGTACTACCGTCCTGCCAAGTGAGTAAAATGAGAGCCTGGTTTTACATGATGGTAGGATTGCTGGTGTCTTTTTTCTGTCTCATAAACATGCAAGAATTCAGGTGCATCTTGCTACTTCTACTTACACTTAGGTCACACTACACATGCATGTACAAGCATATATATACACACCCCTCTGGGTTTTATTTTATTTATTTACTAGTGCTTGTTCTTGTTTATTTCTTCTTATTTCTATGGGGAAGTGGAGCAGAACTCTTCCTCCGTAAGCCATGCATGTCATCAGACTAAAATGCCAGGGGCTAGTAACTCCTTCTCCTGTATACATTACTATAATTAAAAAAAAAAGGAACTTTTGTTTTTCTTTTTGGGCCACCCTGCTTCAATGAGATATGGCCAGTTTGTTGAAAGAAGAAGAAAGATGGGCTTTAAACTTTGTAGTGCAGGCTAGAGGCAGAGAAGATGTCATATTTGAGAGCAATGTGGTATGAATATTATATGGAGAATTTAAGGATAGAAATTATAAGACATATAGGCTTATCAAAGGTATAATGCAGAGGGCTGAGGAGTTCTTAAGGTGGGCTAGGCATTTAGAGAGGATGGTGTTTACAGCTAGGGTGGAAGGAAGGAATGTGGGGATAAAAGAGGTTTAGAATGTTAGGGGCTTGAGCATCCAGCAGGCTTGTGTGAGCATCATGTTTGCTGAGCATCTGGACTACCATACTAAACAATGAGTCAATAACATGTAACAAGATAAGACAATTATAGAGAGGCAAAAAAAAAAAAAAATGAGTGAGCTAGCTTCTAGAACTATAAAAAAGTGAACATTACAGAGTGCATCAGCAACATACTGTACAGAGTAAAGCAAACTGTCATCCATGAAAACAAACTGAGCATTTAAATATCAAACATCTTGTTTTATAAATAAAATATATCAACCTCTGATAATCATAAGTCAATATGTAAGCATCAGTCTGATACAATAGCATTTCATGCAGTATGTTTCAGATATCTTACCTAAATTTTTATTAGACAGACTTGCAACATGAACTGATGTAGAAGGTAAAAACAGTTGTGGAGTAATGTAGTCGAACAGAATTTGTGGCAATTTGTTAATGCTGGTTAGATGGATTTTCTTTACCAGTGAAGGTGCTGAAGAAAGTTGACCATTGTAGCTTGTGTTATCAGCCTCAATACCGCCAGAACTTTTTCAAGTAGAAATAAGTTTGTTAATAGGAAATATCTTCATTTACAGGGTTAGTGTTAGGCAGAGGAAAACATGTGTTGTGAGGAAATGAGTAACATTTCACTAAAGATATACAAAATATAACCACCTTAGAGTAGTTGTATGTAGCAATGCTTGAACAGCCTTAATAGAAGATGTGAAGCTGTTTTCACTTTAATACGTAATTAAAATTACGGTATGTGACCACGTAGTATCTGTTGAGTAGTGGAGACAAGTAGGTTTTTAAGACTTAAAGTGCTTGTATATGTGAAAGCAAGACAACATGAAGGATTTGGGCATAACTGGGCAAGACAACATGAAGGATTTGGGCATAACTGGGGGTTGGAAATATAGTGCCTATACTAAACTGTTACATTCTCACCCGTCCTACAGAATTATCTGAATTTTGTTATCCATACACTTTTGAGAAAACAAGTTATTGAGCAAACAACAGTAAATGTGTTTCCTTTGTCTGGAACACCCTACCCTGGTGAGACACATTGGTGTGTTAAAAAAAACTAAAGGAACAGAGAAAATGTCTGGTTACTATTTCAAGGATATGAAAAAGTAAATGTATTATAAAGACATAACTTGAAAAGGCTTCTAGCACAATGTTTTTATTTATAAATTGTACCCTCTAATAACCTTACAGATTACCAAGGCACTTCGAAAGGAAACAAAAACAATTACAAAGAACACTCTAAGTTTTCTCTAAGCAGACTATGTATGATTAGGGGACCACTGAGCTATGACTTTCTTGACCGGGGGTAACATGACCAGGTATTATAGGAGAGAAATGTGACTAACAGTAATACTGATTTTTTAAATCTGCCAAGCACAAAGACCTAACAGTCATTCAGCACTAGAATTTTTTTTTATAGAAAAGAAGATATTAATAAAGAAATTGTTAATAGAGGGGGGTTTATATTATTTTAATGATTAAATCCAAAAAATTCCCTCCCCCTATTAACGAATGTACAGTGGACCCCCGACATTCGATGGCATCGACATTCGATAAATCCGACATTCGATGCATTTTAACGCAAAAATTTCGCCTCGACATTCGATACGATTCATACGAGACGTGTCCACGTGTGCCTGAACTGCACCGTGTGTGCCAGTGTTTACAAGCCAGCCAGTGTGCGCGCATCTAAGGATACATTTGGTACATTCCATATTATCTATATTATCACTGTTTTTGGTGCTTGTTTCTGCAAAATAAGTAACCATGGGCCCCAAGAAAGCTTCTAGTGCTAACCCTTCAAGAAAAAAGGTGCTAATGACTATTGAAATGAAGAAAGAGATAATTGCAAAGTACGAAAGTGGAGTGCGTGTGTCGGAGTGCATTATGATTTGGTAATCATCATGCAATTGGTGATGCGAGTGAATTTAAGGCCAGCAAAGGTTGGTTTGAAAGATTTAAGAATCGTAGTGGCATACACAGTGTGGTAAGGCATGGTGAGGCTGCCAGTTCAAGTCCTAATGGAAGGGGATTCCCCTTCTAAACACTAACACCATCCACACTCTCCCCTCCTCCCATCCCATCAATCATCACCAGAACTTCATTTAAGGTAAGTGTCAATTATTCTATTGTTATTAATCTATTGTTATTGTAATTATTCTATTGCATTAAACTTAATATTTCATGTGGTAAAATTTTTTTCTTCATACTTTTGGGTGTCTTGCACGGATTAATTTGATTTCCATTATTTCTTATGGGGAAAATGAATTCGGCTTTCAATATTTTCAACATTCGATGGCTCTCAGGAACAGATTAATATCGAATGTCAGGGGTCCACTGTATTAACACATTCCTTCAAGGAGTTGCTTAATGCTGATGAATGGTTCTTGATCTATGGAACTGAACCTACCCTTTTCTTCAGAGCAAACCAGAATACTCTTTCTCCCATTCCCCATGCAATTATAACCCTTATGAATTTAGAACTTCCAATTACATTCATATAGAACCCTTATGAATTTAGAACTACATGAATGTAATTGTTATTACACTCATGGGGAGCACTAAATCCATAGGGATCATACAGCATATGGAGTGATGTCACCTGCAGGTGACATCACAAGTCTAATCTATATGTCACTTCTTTCTGGTATATATATGCTCTCTCTTTTCACCTATGTGTGTGAGAATTGATAAAGTCCCTGAGGGACAGAACATCTTCTCAATAAGACATATGATGTGGTTTGTGGCATTTCATTAACATACTAGATAGTTGTGCAAGGCATGCAGTATCATCCTCTGCTTAATGTAGATTATTGTAATCATAACTAAATGCTAATCTCACAAGGGTTCTATTCTAGAATATTAGCTGAATTTTGGCTTTTTTTTTTTATCATATTCTAATTTTTTTCAAAATGCTATTTATTACGTTATACTATTTGTTTGCACAGTGAGTATCTTTTATACACATAATAAATACTTTGCACACTAAATAAATACTATCTGCACTTCCCTAAATTTTCTCCTTGATAACATTTTTAATTAAACTGAGAATTTCTATAAATCAGATACCTAAATGTTCCGGAGCCTGGATGAGACTTGTGCAGTTACTCATGAATATTCCTGTACCTTGCATGACTTGCTTTTAATTAAGAATAACTTTAAGTTTAGTTTTTGAAAATATATACAGTTAAAGGGTCCAAGAAGTATCACATATTCAATGCATTTGAAAAAACTCTCCAGAATTTCTAATATCAAAAGAGAAAGGGTTAACAAGGGATATCTTACTGATAATGACAAAAAAAAAAAAATGCTTCATTCTTAACACTTACTTCCTGTCTGTTTTTAAGACAAGAAAGTATATACAGATGAAATCCCAGAAATTAGAGAACACCTACTGAAAACTTACACAACATTTGCTGACAAACTAGTGCTAAAACAAGCAGACGTGTTACAACCAAAGAAGTCACCGGTCCCTGCCGAGAGGTTTCAAAAGGTTCTTAAAGAATATAAGCTCTGTATGACCCTTTTGGGCTTAGTACTTAAATTTATTATAACAATAAAAATTAAAGAAAATAGAGAGGAACTTTTTATAAGTGTTAAAACTATTTTTTAAATCTATTCAAAAATAAGTACATATAGTACATTCTAAACCTGTGGGCTATACAGCATAATTATTATTTTTCTTTTTAACAAATCGGCCGTTTCCCACCAAGGTAGAGTGGCTCGAAAAAGAAAAACTTTCACCACCTTTCACTCTATCACTGTCTTGCCAGAGGCATACTTACACTATAATTATAAAACTGCAACATTAACACCCCTCCTTCAGAGTGCAGGCACTGTACTTCCCATCTCCAGGACTCAAGTCTGGCCTGCCAGTTTCCCTGAATCCCTTCATATTACCCTGCTCACACTCCAACAGCACGTCAAGTCCTAAAAGCCATTTGTCTCCATTTGCTCCTCTCTAACACGCTCACATGTTTGCTGGAAGTCCGAGCCCCTCGCCCACAAAACCGCCTTTACCCCCTCCCTCCAACCTTTCCAAGACTGACCTCTACTCCACCTTCCCTCCACTACAGATTTATACACTCTCAAAGTCATTTTATTTTGTTCCATCCTCTCTACATGTCCAAACCACCTCAATAACCCCTCCTCAAACCCTCTGGATAATAGTTTTGATAATCCGGCACCTCCTCCTAATTTCTGAACTATGAATTCTCTGCATTATATTCACACCACACAGTGCCCTCAGACACAACATCTACAGTGCCTCCAGCCTTCTCCTTGTTGCAACATTCACCACCCATGCTTCACACCCACATAAGAGTATTGGTAAAAAAAACTACAAATTATTTATGTAAACTTGCCTCTGTTTGCCTGAGAAATCACCAGTGATGAGATGAGCATACTCTTCGACATGGTCCTTAACAATCATTTCTGTGAAAATAAATATTAATGTCTCCATTTTAACCATCACATAAAAAAGAAAACAGCAATTTTGTTAAATAATATTTTTGTTAAGTTATTGTGTGGTGGGCCTACCATGTAGGGCTAATTACCCTGGCATCATTTGATGAGAAATTGCATTTAGTATATTTATGTAATAAACAGTACACAACGTATATTTGTCCCTTAAAAAATTATGGTGTGAGGTGGTCTACCTATCTGTCGTTGGTTTCTGGAGGTCATTGCCTCTGTAGCACAGTCTCAGACCTAGCCTCCTGGTTGATGGCCTGAGCAATCATATTAAGTTATGTTAGTCAGCTAGGCATCTATGACAGCTCTTTAAATCCTTTAGGTGTGATCTTAATGAATCAGGTTAGCTCACTGATAACACTCATATCATGTATTTCCAAATATTGCTGGAGAAGTAATTCTTCTTATAATTTTTTTTATTAACACGTCAGCCTTCTCCCACCAAGGCAGGGTGGCTAGAAAAAAAAAAACTTTCATCATTCACTCCATCACTGTCTTGCCAGAAGTGCACTTACACTACAGTTATAAAACTGCAACATTAACACTCCTTCAGAGTGTAGAAACTACACTTCTCGTCTCCAGGACTCAAGCCCAGCTTGCCGGTTTCCCTGAATCCCTTCAGAAATGTTACCGTGCTCACACTCCAACAGCACGTCAAGTCCTAAAATCCATTTGTCTCCATTTGCTCCTATCTATCATGCTCACGCATGCTTGCTGGAAGTCAAAGCACCTTGCACACAAAACCTCCTTTACCCCCTCCCTCCAACCTTTCCTAGGCCAACCCCTACCCAACCTTACCTCCACTACAGATTTATACACTCTCAAAGTCATTCTATTCTGTTCAATCCTCTCCATATGTCGAAACCACCTCAACAACCCCTCCTCAGCCCTCTGAATAATAGTTTTGGTAATCCCTCACCACATCCTAATTTCCAAACTATGAATTATCTGCATTATATTCACACCACACATTGCCCTCAGACATGACATCTCCACTGCCTCCAGTCTTCTTGTTGCAACATTCACCACCCACGTTTCACACCTATACAAGAGCATTGGTATAACTATACTCTCATACATTCCCCTCTTTGCTTCCTTGGACAAAGTTTTTCGTCTCCACAGACTCCTAAGTACACCACTCACTTTTTTCCTCATCAATTCTATGATTTGCCTCATCTTTCATAGACCCATCTGCTGACACATTCACTCCTAAATACATATCTGAACACATTCACCTCCTCCATACTCTCTCCCTCTAATCTGATATCCAATATTTTGTTACCAATTTTTTTTTATCCTCATCACCTTACTCTTTCCTATATTCACTTTTAACCCTTTCAGGGTTTCCGACGTACTAATACATCTAACGCACCAAGGTTATTGACGTACTAGTACACATAAATTCTAGCGCCTTCAAATCTAGCGAGAGAAAGCTGGTAGGCCTACATAAGAAAGAATGGGTCTATGTGGTCAGTGTGCACAATATAAAAAAAAATCCTCCAGCACACAGTGCGTAATGAGAAAAAAAACTTTGACCGTGTTCTTGGTTTAAAACAGCGACTTTGCACTGTATTTTGTATGGTATTTATGGTTGTATTCTAGTTTTCCTGGTCTCATTTTATAGAATGGAAAACATATTACAGAAATTGAGACAATTTTGATTGGTTTCACAATGAAAAGTACCTTGAAATTAAGCTCAACAGGTGAGTCTAATATTCTTTCACAAGTGCACTGATATTATTTATACCATTTCTACACTAATGCAGTAGTCTGCATAACAGTAAATCTTCTATTTTTCGTGAGAATAAAAATTCAAAGTGGAAAGCAAAAGAAATGTAAGAGGGGCCTGGGGACATGAGTAATGAACAGAAGAAATGTTATTTTAGTGCCAGGATTGTCTGTCTTGTTTATTCTGGACCCTATTTGGAAATTAGCATCTTTTGAAATGTGTGTGAAATTGGCAAAATTGCCAATTTCTCACCACTTTATTGGATAGTTGAAATCAGTAAATGGGTGGTTTCTTGTACTCTTTTTTTTTTTTTTTTTTTTAACAAGTCGGCCGTCTCCCACCGAGGCAGGGTGACCCAAAAAAGAAAGAAAATCCCCAAAAAGAAAATACTTTCATCATCATTCAACACTTTCACCACACTCACACATTATCACTGCTTTTGCAGAGGTGCTTAGAATACAACAGTTTAGAAGCATATACGTATAAAGATACACAACATATCCCTCCAAACTGCCAATATTCTTGTACTCATTCGATAGAAAAAATAGAGTTCTAGCGAAATAGTTGATTTTTGGCCGAAAATAGGGCTCAAAGTGGGCAAAATCGCCTATGTGTAAACATCATCGAGACCGCTAACTTCGAAAGAGCATAATTCCATAAGTTTTCCATCAAATTTCATACTTTTTGTGCCATTATGATCGGGAAAAGATTCTCTATCATTTCACGAGGAAAAAAATAATTTTTTTTTCCGAAAAATTTTCGACCCTGAGAACAAGTTTAGGAGAGGGCCTCTCTACCCTGAAAGGGTTAATTTTCTTCTTTTACATACCCTACCAAACTCATCCACCAACCTCTGAAACTTCTCTTCAGAATCTCTCAAAAGCACAGTGTGAACAACTGTGACAACTCTTTATCTTTTAAACCAACATCTCTTGCCAACACCTGAGCATTCACTTCTCTTACAACCCCATCTATAAATACATTGGAACCTCTACTTGAGAGTTTAATCCATTCCATGATCTTGCTCACAACTGGATTTGTTCATTTGCAGAGTCAATTTTCCTCATTTAAATTAACTGAAATGCAATTAATCCGTTCCAGTGGAATTCTGTACTTCAATAATTTCGCTGTGAACTCTATGGCTTATTTATCTATCACAATTCATCTAATATGACATAATAAACAATATAAACAACAGAGAAACCTGATATATACTCTAAAATGAATAAAATGTGTCATTATGTAGTGGTATTGGCGGTGTCGGCGGTGGACAAGAGTTTGTCTGGTGACAGGACAAAATACTTCTTGAATACTTCGTTATCATCACAGACTGGGCCGCGGGGGCGTTGACCCCCGGAACTCTCTCCAGGTAAACTCCAGGTAATACGACTTATTTATCTATCACAGTTCATCTAATATGACATAACAAACAACATGAATAACATAGAAACCTGATACATACTCTAGAATGAATAAAATGTCATTATATATGTAGCGGGGGCAGCCGATGAGTGTTTGTCCGGAGACAGGACAAAATACAGTGGACCCCCGGTTCGCGAAGCCATCGGTATCCGAAGCATTATACTGTATCGCAAAAAATTTGCCTCAGTTCCCGTTACAAAACCTGGTATGCGATACGATTCGTACGAGACGTGTCCAGTGTTTACAAGCCAGCCAGTGTGCGCGCATCTAAGGATACATTCGGTACATTCTATATTATCCATATTATCACTGTTTTTGGTGCTTGTTTCTGCAAAATAAGTCACCAGGGGCCCTAAGAAAGCTTCTAGTGCCAACCCATCGAGACCAAGGGTGCTAATGACTCTTGAAATTAAGGAAATGTGTAGTAAGTTGGTAGACACCAACCGCCCAGGGAGGTACTACCGTCCTGCCAAGTGAGTGTAAAATGAAAGCCTGTAATTGTTTTACATGATGGTAGGATTGCTGGTGTCTTTTGTCTGTCTCATAAACAAGCAAGATTTCAGGTATGTCTTGCTACTTCTACTTACACTTAGGTCACACTACACATACATGTACAAGCATAAATATACACACCCCTCTGGGTTTTCTGTTATTTTCTTTCTAGTTCTTGTTCTTGTTTATTTCCTCTTATCTCCATGGGGAAGTGGAACAGAATTCTTCCTCCGTGGGCCGTGCGTGTCGTAAGAGGCGACTGAAATGCCGGGAGCGGGGGGCTAGTACAGTGGACCCCCGGTTAACGATTTTAATCCGTGCAAGAGGGCTCATCGTTATGCGAAATAATCGTTATGCGAATGAATTTTCCCCATAAGAAATAATGGAAATCAAATTAATCCGTGCAAGACGCCCAAAAGTATGAAAAAAAATTTTTTTTACCACATGAAATGTTAATTTTAATACACACAAACTGAAAAAGGCATGCACAATTAAATGACACTTACTTTTATTGAAGATCTGGTGATGATTGATGGGATGGGAGGAGGGGAGAGCATTATCTTCTTACTGTTTAGAAGGGGAATCCCCTTCCATTACGACTTGAGGTAGCAAGTCCTTTTCCGGGGTTACTTCCCTTCTTCTTTTAATGCCACTAGGACCAGCTTGAGAGTCAACTGGACCTCTGTCGCACACAAATCTGTCCATAGAGCTCTGTACCTCCCGTTCCTTTAACGATTTGTCTAAAATGGGCCACAACATTGTCATTGAAATAGTCACCAGCACGGCTTGCAACAGCTGTGTCAGGGTGATTTTCATCTATAAAGGTTTGCAGTTCAACCACTGTGCACACATTTCCTTAATCTTTGAAGTAGGCACAATGGATTCCACAACTGGCATAGGCTTCTCAGGGTTAGCCCCAAACCCTTCAAAATCTTTCTTAATTTCCATACTAATTCTCACCCTTTTTACCACAGGGTTGGCACTAGAAGCTTTCTTGGGGCCCATGGTCACTTATTTTCCAGAAACAGCACCGAAAATACTGTAATAATACGAAATATTCCGAGTGTATGCTTGGATGTTACCGCGGAGGCTGGCTGGTAAACAATGGACGGAGCGGCACATGTGAGGCTGGCTGAGGGCACATTGGACGCGTCTCGGACGAAAATCGGTATGCGGGTTTTTAATCGGTATGCGGGGCAAAAATTTTGCGATAAAAGTAATCGTTATGCGGAAAAATCGCTATGCGATGCCATCGTTATGCGGGGGTCCACTGTAATCCCTTCTCCTGTATATATTACTAAGTTTGAGGGGAGAAACT